GACTGCATATCCTTATGGCTACTCCCCAAACCAGATTCGGTGACCACCATGATAAATCACATGATGATGATGATCATTATTATTATTATTTCAGAAATACGTTTCAGTAATCTGCGACTGCATATCCTTATGGCTACTCCCCAAACCAGAATCGGTGACCACCATGATAAATCACATCATCATCATCATCATTATTATTATTTCAGAAATATATTTGAATATGTTTGATTACTAAGATGTTGGTGATAAGTGACCTGGAAATGTCTGTGATATAAACCAGTTGCTTCCCAAGACCTAGTCTCGCTTAAGTAAGCCAAGGACAGTTTTGCCATTCATTTCAGTGAGGCCATTTCATGCTGGACACTTGTTCAGATAATGCCCTATGCAGAGAAAACTCTTCCATAATTACAGATAGACCTATTATTAGGTTTGTGCATAAGTTTTTATCCCAGCTTAGTCCTCATGCTGTTAAGCTCTGTAATTGCTCCATTATTCACAGATTTAAAGCAAACTTTTCAGGGGTTAAGTAGAAGTTATAAACAGCAGTAACTACATAAATTTTGTTGCCACAATTTCCAACCAAGACTAAGGAATTTCAGAACTGGAAAAGTTACAGTCAACGTCAAGATGCTGACATAGGGAAAGCTGTGTATTTTCATTTCTGTGTGGTCACAGTTATATGTGGCAGATTTTATAAAAGTTGAAGAAAATTGTGTCCTTCAGTGCTCCCTCTACCCCTCTTTCCACTGTTCCAGTTCAGGAGAAACATGATTTTTCATGCCGGCAAAATGTAAAAAGTAATGCTAAACAATGGTATCATTTGAAGACCTCCAGAGTGCCAAACACTACATCGTACCAACAACATTCATAGGCATGAAGAAAATAAGATTTTCATAAAGTCCTGGTGCTGCATTTAGTCACAAAGCAAGAAAATCCCTGCAAGAAACTGAAAATCCATTCTATATTTAGCATCAGCCTAATAGGATAACATGGCTATGGTTTACTATTCTTCAGATTGATGGAGTTTTGCATTGTTCCACTGCAAAGGCCAGGCTTCTTAAATAGGTCTGATCTTGCTGCTTTTACAAATAAGCTGTCTTAAGGTCAAGGGAGACAACTTCCACTTTCTTCTTTTGGTATTTCATTATCTTATGCAGATGTAATGCTTCTCTGAGAAGGCTGACATGATATCATCTGCTTTCTGTGTTTTAAAGAAAGAGTGCCTGTACCACTCTACAAGACAAAGATGGATTACAGCCATCTACCACAGCCTCAGTATTTCCCAAGGAATATCTTTTTCTTCATATTACAATTCATGTTTACCGTCCTATAGGAGTCACAACCATTCTACAGAGAAAACATTCAACCACAAATAGTGCTGTCTGACTTGTCCTAGCAGCGTATCCATAAATCCCTTTTGGGGAGAAAGCTGAGAACTTCCTGTAATAGCAAAATGCAGCCATGCTCTAACCAGATACAGAATTTAAAACAAACATGTCCTGAAAGTTTCAGTATAGCCTAGTGGTGGCCCTGGTTTTAAACTGATCTCCAGTCTCCCACCTGCAAATAATACAGAAGATGTTAAATGAAATGCATCACATTTTGGTGCCAAATTTTCAAAAAGTGTCCACCTCCATTTTTTTCTTTAAATATGCTAGAATATTGCCATCTGTGAATGCGAAGCTGTGAAAGTGTGAATCTGAAATCTGTCAGCTGTTCATCAACATGCTCATGGAAAAAAAAGGCAAGTGACAGAAGGCTGGGTTTTGGGGAGGAGGTTGCAGAGGGTGGGGGAAGCACGTGCCTTTTTGCCAGAAGGCAATGAGAAGCCGCACGTAGACCACAGCTTGGGGTGCTTCCGCAGGCCGTGCCGGGGAGCCGGGAGCTCTGCACCACTCACGCCTGGCTGGAGCACACCATGGTGTTAGCTGGTGTGTGACAGACCTGCGTCTCTGGGGCCAGGTTTCAGACGCCTCTGCCATTTCAACATGACCCAGGGATATTCAGCTATCTAGGAGGGAAATGCTGGTAATGGCACACCAGCTAGGTGTCCAACACCCAACACTAAGATCTCAGTGTCTGCTCATGAGCCAACTTTTCACTTTAAAAACCACCATTTTTTAAATAACATGTCTCTTTAAAAATTAAATAAATAACAAGTCTTTTCAAAGGCAAAATAATGTATTATTAAAATATTAATATTTCTGATAACTTTAACCCGCTAGAAATCTTTGCACTTTTTTGTAATTTCTTCTTACTCGGTTAGTATTCAAAGGCTCTATTACAGAATCGTTCAAGCCACTGCTTGTAATACAGCATATTAATATATTCATTTTCTCTTTCTAGTAGCAGTTTTCCATTCCAATTTCCTTTATCTGACTTCTGCGTGATTTATTCTGATTATAAAATTCCCTCTTCTTTCATATAGTTTAATTCATTCACGATTTTTAAAATTCATATCTTCATATTAAATATGCTGGCAAGTTTGCTCATGTCAGATTGGTCCCTTCCCCCTCTAGTTTTCAGTAACCCATCTGAACAGAGGCTTCCTTAAATTTCCTTCTAACAGTTTTAATTTAATCCAGACCTTTTGAAAGAGAACTTTTAGGAACAATAATTGTTTCACACATGAAAAATCCCCCTGACACACAGCATGATATTAATTATCATTAACTGCATGCTTCTCAGAAATTCTGGCACCAGTTTACCGTACACACCTACAACACTCATAACACAGTGTCTCAACATTCACTGGAACAGCAACGTTTTCTCAGTGCTGAATGAGGCCCCATAAGAGCAGTAACTGCATTCAAAATCCGAAGGTCCCCCAATCTGCTCATCTCCACAATACGTCACAGTTTTTGATCTCTGCACCAACCCTGCTGTTACACTAGTTTGTCTTTCAAGAAGATGCTCATTTTTGACATTTTGACTTTACAACTTTAACAGGCAAACAAGCAACAGCTTTTGGTAAATTGTCTTAACGGATGCATTGCTTCTAAACTCATTGCTTGTTTAACTCTAGTTTTGATTTCTAACCCTCAAGTCTTACTTGTACAAGGATTAAATAAGTTTTTGGATTCTTAAAGCAGGCCCAGAAATTACCACAACTGCCCCTTGGTGAGTATTTGATCCACAGGATAACCACACTCACACAGCATCTTCCTGCTTGACCCAAAACTCATTTCTCCAGGAACAGTTTTGCTTCTGCAGGGCTGAAGGCCACTAGCAGCTTGGAAAAGCTCCGCATAAGCACATCACACTGTGAGGACCCCCTTTACAAAAGATCATTTTGCCTACTGATTTTTAAAGGATGGCCAAAAGAGGAAGTGAAGCCCGTCCTTTAGATGGTATCAGAGACATAAGAACTGCATTACCCTGAAGAGTGAAGTCTAGGTAGAAAGTCTTCCTCAGTCAGAGAAAGTTAAACCTTGGTGGCCTACCTCCCATGAAAATGCATTTTCACCCCTTCTTGGGCCCAGAAGCATTGGAAGAGCAGGAAGGGACTGGTGTTTGAGGGCTGGTGGGTGGTTAAGCCAACTCTTCCTCTTAGAACAGTCAGATTTGGGTTCTAGTCCCAAGATACATGTATAGTTAATGGACTCACCATCAGCTTGTCCTCCAGGTGTGCTTTAAAAGAAAGCATTTAAACATGGATTTGGTTCTCTAGGGGAAAAATCAGTAGCTGTCACCAGGATATTCTGGACTCAAGGTCCTCTACCAGTGCAGGTCCATTCACGCTTAAGCTCCTTACCATCCAGGGACAGTAGAAGATGTCAGACACCATCTGGCTATCAGCATTTTCTACAGTCTCGCCCAGCACAATGCACCACCTTGTCTTCATCCCATCTGGGGCTCCTCACCATGCCCGTGTAGCACTGAGGAAAGCCAGACACCTCTCTCTGGGTGCTTGGGGGCAGACATCAGGCCTGTGTGACTGGAGCTGGCTGTGAGCCTTGTCCTGGCTCACCACTACACCTCTTCTTCATGTGGGTACTGCTCACAGGTCACAGTCCAGTCAACTTTTAACCTTTGGGCAAACTCTGCACATTGAGCTTTCGTGGTATGTCACTATAACTCATTGTTCAAAACTCGAACACCACTTGGTCCTGTTTTCTGGAATCTTTCTTACATTCCAGCACCTTTTCCAAAATACTGTGGCAACAGCCTCTGAGATGATGCATACAGCCGTAGTAGCTCCCTCATGTCTCTCAGACACTCTGCTCACATATTTGGGGATTACACTGGTTGCCCCAAATACAGTATTGGACTAGCAGTTTTAAGCAACCATTTATCACCTCCATTTTAGGTTGACTTCACACCAGGATGCAATAAACCTTGAGTCTGATAATATCTAGCCCAATTACAACTTCTGCATGAGAAGCGGGGTCAGTAACAAGAAGGAATATTTTAAATTGTTTTAGAAGCCAGCTCATGCTAGTCTTTGAATTAGCTCCTCATGTACCCCAGGAAACTGGTTTGAGAATTGGGATGGCCACTGGCAGGCAGGGGACCGATACAACTAAAGAAAGCGCATGAGCCACTTCAGAAGATACGTTCCAAGTTCCTCCCCAGGTCTTTTGCCTTTTATTCTCCAATTCAGGTATTACATTTCCACTGGTTTCCACCAGGATTGTGCATGCACCTTGACATGTTCACAGAAGTTCCACAATACAGAGTTTCACAACTGGGACAGGTCCCTACAATCGGGACATCAGGGTGACAAAACAGATTCTGGAGAATTCCCCGCTGAATAGGATGGAGAGAACATAATTACCACATTGTAGCACTACAATGCCTCATAAACATAGAACAGACTAGATCCATTTACCACAAAAATCACAGAAAGTAACTGATCAAAGAATATATCTTTTATGTAAAATATACATCTGTAGGATATAACTTTAATACAGCTTTTATACTTATTGATGTTGGGTTTGCAACACTGAGTTAAAAAAAAAAAAAAAAACCAAAATAGTTTTGCTGCCAGAATTTTATTTCTCATAATACTTATATTTTGAGGTAACAATGAAAGAAGACTGTGCTGTGAACAAAGTCAGTGATGTTTGTCTGCAGTCACATTTCTGTTATCAAAGTGAAAAGTAAACTTAAGACTTGGCATGTACACTAGAATTCATACAAATATAGGTCATTGCAAACAGAGAAAGCAAATCTACTCTGTTCATATTTGTGACCTTTGCAAAATATACTATTATTATGACAGAAGTCAAGACAGATGTAGTTTACATCACTATCATTATTAAGTGTGTGTCTTTGTATGATCCACAGCACAACTTACTGCAGGAACCAGGAAGAATACACACAGGGGTGTGGGTCTTTGCATGGAGCCTTAGCAATGATGACTTGAATTCAGCTTTCCTTGATATAGATAAAAACTGATATTCCATGCACACACATTATATTTACAGCTGACTCATCAACAGTGACTAGTCACCCCTTCCTCTGGCAGCAGTAATTACGAGCAGTCTTTAATCTTCTTTAACAAGCTCTACTTCCCATGTAGAGTCTCAGTGACCTCCACAAGGCGCGAGTTGTTTATCAGGGCCCATTCAGCAGCAGCAGTCTCTTTCCAGTACAGTCCTTGGTATGGCTAAATTCCATTGTCCCTTTTTCAGCAGTCAAAAATCCATGATAAATTCTGTACAACACTGTAGTTAATATAACAGCAGCACCAGATATTATATTAATTCCTTTGCTAAAAGCTGTTTGCAATTATCTTTCTATTGACAATATTTTACCAAAACTAAATCAATGTACATCTCTAAATATCAGAAATGTATACTTTGATAAATACATTATTGTACAAGAATTCTGACATGCGCGTCATGCTATTGGACTAGGCTATGTACAGAAGAACATGTTACATGGTCAACAATATATTATATTTCTTTTCCTAACAAAAAATAAAACATGACAATCAGGGATTATTCAACAATCTCAAGGATCTTTTAAGATTTGGGTTATTATGGTCTTCCCCATGTAGTTCTAAAACTCTACGGTTTAGAGTAATTTTTTCTCACCAGCCCAGAACATCAAATCTGTCATTGCATTTGTCCTGTTGCATAAACAGAGGTTAATATTGAGCGAAAAAGCCACTAGAGGAGATACAGTTTCAAAACTGTAATGAATGCTGGTTGCTAGGAGGAAGATTGATGCAATAGGCAACCGGTCTGTACTGTAAAGCCGCTACTAAATCCCACTCGAAAAATCTTCAGAGTGCTCACACGAGTTAGTTTGGACGATACTAACTTGCACTTGAAAAATATATGTATTTGTATCTATACACATAAGTATAGTTGGTATGAAAAAAAGAAAAAAGGAGAAAAATGCCCTCAGTTAACCTTAAAAGAGGGGAGCATTTTAACAGTATCTCTGTGCTTTATGGAGACAGATGGATAATACAGTAGACAGGTTGCAAAACAGACAGACAAACAACATATAGGACAAAGCACCTCAAAAAACACTGACTGAAGAAATTTTTGAAGCTCATGAGCCAGATGTATAAGGCTGGTCAAAAACGCGACTTGAGAACTACCACCCTCTTACAGCGGTACAAAAAAGCCCCCAATAATCTCCTCAATTTTACTTGGTACTCAGCCTCTGAAAATGTTGAAGAACCCTGGAGCAGAGAAATGACTACAGTACCAAGCAGCACTTGCTAGCTTAAAATTGCAAGTCTGGATGGCGTTTACCTTTCTTGCATGTTTTGTGCCTTCCCCAAGCCATTAAGAAAGAGATCTGGCTTCTGCTTGCGTGTAACCAGTAATGACAACCTCTTTGCAGTTATCTGTGTGCAAACAACCGGAGACATTCAGAACTCTGATACAGCAATCCAGTACCAAAGTAAGTTAATCACAAAATAAAGCCATTTATAAACAAGTAGATAGTTTAAAAATAAAGGAAAAGGTTAAACAAAGAAAACAATCCCACATGCAGACCAGTTTATCAGTGCTTTCATTTTAGCAGGATGGTACAAGGCAAGAACACACATCCAGAGCCATCTGAGGTCTCCACGATCAGCAACACTGCTTGTTGGGTGATGGAGACAGGATGGTCCATGCAAATGAGAAGACCCAAGTCACATTGTGTGCAACCAAGACACGACTCCAGACATCTTCAGAATGGATTAGAGTCACAAGAAATGGAGGTTCAATGGAGTGACTGATAATTAGTTGGAAGCACATTATTTTAAGTAAATCTCCCTGAAAATATGCTTATTTATTGAATATACTGGCCAACGGCATCCACTGCCTGTCCTTTTATTGCCACAGGAAAGTAGGACAATATAGTAGATAAAAGAAGCGCTACCTTAGGTAATCTTTAGAAGCCAAGATAAAAATCTTCAGCTACCCAAGTGGCATTTCTTACTACTGACAGTTATATCATGCAGGAGTTATATCATATTTGTGGAGCCTATGGTTAACGCTACATTTATTTCCCATATGTGGTAAACAGTATTTGAGTTAATACTATGTAGCCGATTGATGCCATCTGGTTTACAAGATGGAAGGTATGGGAGACCGAGAGCGCCTTAGAGGACAAGGTGAACTGTAGGGTGATGTTACTGGAGACAGTCGCAGAGCATTGCCTGTCAAGCCAGCTATGTTGTTTAAGCTTCGAGATTTTTCGTAGCCTTGTATGAGAAAATGCACAGACATCAGTTGAATTCAGCCAAAAAAATAGACAAAGACAAACAATACAATGTAATGTAACCCAAGGAGCTATCTGGGACTCAGAGGAAATTTGCCTGCAAAAGAACTCAGTGCTGAGACACATTACTACCAAAATATATGAACAAATAAAATTATTTACAAATTAATGCAGCTATTCTTTCCCAGAAAATTAAACAGACCATCACACAAGAGGTCTGACCCGCTCCTCCACATCCCGTCTTGCACTCAGTGCCATTCTGTTGACTTCAGCAGGGCTGCACAGGGTGCAAGACAAAGGATCCCAACAGGGTTACTAGGTGAGCTGTCTGGCTAAGCATAATCAAAAACCCATTAAGGCAGACTACAAAAACTGTTAGAATTATATAATTTCTGCTAAATCCATTTCCTGATAAAGGATGATTTTTCCTTAAAAATAAATAAAACTAAAACCAGATAAAATTGCATACAGTATCTGTAAATCACTTCTGCAGAGGACTGAATGATACTATGGGAAAGAAGCTGCATCATCAGAAATATTAACCCTAAGACCTTGAGTCTAATATTAACGTACCATAAAATAGCAGAGTTTGACATATTTGCAAATGCCTCCTGACTGGTAAATTTAAAATATCATATTTTTTCTCATTCTCCATCTGACTCAAATGAAACAAACGGTATTAAACCACACAAGCAAATAGTAAATAATTAATAATTAAATGAGACAACCACATAATGCTTCACAATTTGGAGGGAACATTGCACTTGCAGACACTTCTGTTCACATACACTGTGAGCTCTAGCTACCTACTTTTTGCTACATATAGATTGTGTTCACCATGTAGAGGCTGTGCTGTAAAACACTGGAAAAGCATTGCTCTTTACCGCCTCCCTGTCTTTATACTGAAGTATTTTCAATAGAACCTGAATAATCCCACTTATGAACAAAAGGATCAGCCCATCAGTCTGGAGAGAGATATCAGAAAGCGAGTACAATGAAGATGAAGCCGGACAGGACCTCGCTCCTCAAGTACACAGATACAGGCTTCATTGCAAGCACGAGCAGTCCCGTTGATTTCAATGGCACTACCTATTTCCCCTAAGCATTTGTCAGGTTAAGACATTCAGGTATCAATTGCTTACAGTGAAATACTGAGACTCTTCCCACACAAACTATAAAATACCAATGACGATACAGCTCAACATTACACAGGATGTCACTAGAATTTTTTTTTCCATATTGAAACAGTTACTGGCTCATATTCCAGATCTCCAGATAACAGACAGTTAATGGACAGTTGTTAGCATCTTCAGGAAAAATCGTGTCTTAGTTTTTCCCCTAATGACAATTAACATACTTCCTACCTACGGAGAATTGCATACTGTAAAATAATACTTAAAGCAAATGTAGAACCTCATGTCTGCTAAAACTTTGTACAATGTTATCTCCAGATTGCAAGGACAGGCTGGACTGTGATGCTTCACAGACTTCTGATACATTTCAAAACCAGCCTCCAGGTTCTGAGTTTCTATCAGTATTTACACAGATTAGAAAGAATCATGTCTGAAAGGGGAATAGCAAGGAAGCACAATGCTAGTGTATATATTTAACCTCCCCTGTAAACATAAAGCTTACCAAAAAATAATCAGAAGAATCAGATAGCACTTCTTTTCACACAGAAACTAGGAAACTATTTTTCAAAATATTTTTCCTGCTACTTTTGTAATGATAAAAGCAAAGAACTGATAGAGGAAGATGATAAAGATGATAAACAGGAACTCCTAAAAAATGAAAACCATATAAACAAGACGAACAGAGATAAAGTCATGATCCAAAATCAGTGCTTTCCAGGTATTTCAGTTGGGTTTGGATCAGCTCTGAATCAGTATCATCTTAGAGATGCAGATAAGGTGCTAATGCAAAAAATCTCAGAATAAATGATCACTGACCACAACCAACAACCAACCAAGGAACAAAGCAAACAAGAAGGATGCCCCAAAAGAAAGAAATGGAAAAAACAAAATGAAAGAGTAATAGACTTGATGTGTGAATTAAATTCAAGTATTCAAAACCATTTGGAGGCTACTTGAAGATGTTCTCTGCTTCTGAGCTAACTTCCCTGCTCTGTATAAAATAGACTTCAAAGCCAGTGGCTAAAACATTTCAGCCTAGATGAAGGTTATCGTCAGAGCCAGTCAAAGAGCACATTTCTCATTGAGAAACTGTCTGTTCTGAACTCCAGCCCCATTTTTCTAGCTAAACTATGAAAAAAATTTCTCATGAATCTAGACTTCTAATGAAAATGTTCACATGGTCCAAGTAGAAAATACGTTTTATTTTTACATGAATATGTCTTTAATAGTTAATGGGTAACTTCTTTTATTATTTCTGATCTGTTCTAATTATGGTTACTGCCAAGTGAACAGCACTCAAATGTTTGTACTATCATTTCTAAAAGAAAGAAGAACCTTATCTTGCAAGATGCCATGGCCATCTGCCTTATTCAGGTGTTCCTGACCTCCTCAAAAGACTGGACCCTTGCTCCTAGAGATACTGTAAATAATCCTAGTAGTTGAGAAGACAGTGTGAGAACTACATGCAGTGGAAAGCATCCTAAATCTCTGCAAAAACATGTTTGCAATGAAGTCCCATTTAATCTAAATACTATATATATATGAATATGTAAAACACAGGAGCATAGAGACAATCATACTCTTTACCAATACCATACACATTGAACTCTGGTTGCATATCTGCCTTCACCAATCTGATAGCTTTCTACAATGACATGACTGGCTGGGTAGATGAAGGAAGAGCCGTGGATGTTGTCTGCCTAAACTTCAGCAAGGCTTTCGACACAGTCTCCCATAACGTCCTCCTAGGGAAGCTCAGGAAGTGTGGGCTGGATGAGTGGTCGGTGAAGTGGATTGAGAACTGGCTGAATGGCAGAACTCAGAGGGTTGTCATCAGCGGCACTGAGTCTAGTTGGAGGCCAGTAACTAGTGGTGTCCCTCAGGGGTCAGTACTGGGCCCAGTCTTGTTTAACTTCATCAACGACCTGGATGAAGAGTTGGAATGTACCCTCAGCAAGTTTGCTGATGACACAAAACTGGGAGGAGTGGTAGATACACCAGAAGGCTGTGCTGCCATTCAGCGTGACCTGGACAGGCTGGAAAGCTGGGCAGAGAGGAACCTGATGAGGT